ATGCAGTAGAAAGTATCAAAACCAGGTTATACCATGGAGAAGAAAGAACCTCAGAGCTAGAGCTAAAGTTTTCAAATTAACCCAGGTACTTAAAGAGGCAGAAAAGAAGAGAGAGAAAGTAGAATAGGAACTTACAGAACTACGAGACTCCATAGAAGTATTTAAATATATGAATTACAGGGATTCCTGAAGGCGAAGAAGACTGTCCCAAAGGAATGGAAGCCCTACTGGAAACCATCATAAATGAAAACTTTGCAAGCTTTACTAAAGACCCAGACACTCTTTTCAGATGGATATCAAATCCCTGGTCATCTCAAATCAAACAGAGCCTCGCCACAACATATTATAATGAACCTGTTCAAAGTCAAGAGGAAAGAAAAAATTCTGCAAGTAACCAGGAGTAAGCGTAAACTGACCTACACAAGCAGAACCATTAGGATTGCAGGAGATTTTTCAAATGAAACCTTCCAAGCCAGAAAAGCATACTCATCCACCTTCAACATTCTTGAGCAAAACAATTTTCAGCCCAGAATTCTGTATCCTGCTAAACTAACCTTGAAAATTGATGAAGAAATCAAATCTTTTGTGGATATACAAACACTGAGGAAATTTGCAACAAGATCACCTGTATAGGAAATTCTTAGATCTCTTCTCAACACTGACCATCACAATGGACCACCAGCAAACTAAACTCCCATAAGCTAAAGGTCAAAACTTAGCTTCTACAATGGTGCAAAGGAAAAAAACTACAGAATGGGTTTTCACAAAACAAGATGAATAGAACTCAACCATACTTATTAATTCTCCGAATAAATGTCAATGGTCTGATTTCACCACTGAAGAGACAAAGGCTGGATATCAGGATAAAAAAGCATAAGCCATCCATATGCTGTTTCCAGGAAACATACCTAGCTTTGAAGGACAAATCAAGACTCAGGATTAAGTGATGGAAAGCAATATTTCAAGCAAATGGAAATCAGAAGAAAGGAGGGGTTACAATCTTATTCTCAGATACAAGCAGATTTAAAGTAACTAAAGTTAAGACAAAGATGGACTGTTTATACTGGTCAAAGAAACAATATAACAAGAAGACATTTCAATTTTCAATATTTATTCACACAACTTAAATGCTCACAGATTTATGAAACAGACTTTGATGGGTCTGATCAATATGATATTCCATAACACCAGCAATCACACCTTCTCCCTAGACTTAATCAACTTTAACACCCTCTGACAGAACCGGACAAATACTTTAAACAGAAACTAAACAAAGATACAAAGGACTTAAATGTAACCCTGGAACAAATGGGATTAATAGACATATACAGAACACACCATTCCAAGGCTAAGGAATATACATTTTTATCATTAGCCCATGGCACATACTCCAAAATGGACCACATCCTAAAATACAAATCAAAACTCAAGAAAATCAAAAGAATTGAAATTTTGTCTTGTATCTTCTCAGACCACAAGGCAATAAAGGTGGAACTAACCTGCAACAACAATGTTCAACTCCAAACAAAGGCATGGATATTACACGAACTGATGCTGAATGATAGTTGAGTTCAGAAGAGATAAAAGAGGAAATCATTAACTTGCTTAAGCAAAACAAAAATGAAGACACAAGTTACCAAAACCTGTGCGATATAGCATAAGCAGTCTTGAGAGGAAAATTTATCATTTTAGATGCCTACACCTGAAAAACAGAAAGAAAGTGCATCAAAAAAAATCACAAACCATCTTATGAAATTGAAAAAAGAATAATCTAGGCTTAAATACACCAGAAGAAAAGAAACATCCAAAATTAAATCAGAGATTAATGAAACTAAAAATAAAAGAATCATTCAGAAAATTAACAAAACAAAAAGTTGATTTTTTGAAAAAAATAAATAAAATTGATAAACATTTGGCCAGATTAACTAGAAAGAGAAAGGTAAAATCTCTAATCACCTCAATCAGAAATGATAAAGGGGAAATAACAATAGATGCCATAGAGATAGAAGAGTTCATCTCCTGGGTACTACAAGAAACTCTATGCCCAGAAATTTGACGTAAAGGAATGGATCAATACCTGGAATCACACCCTCTCCCTAGATTTAATCTTCAACAGACTAATTTCAAGAAATGAGATCAAAAAAAAAAAAATAAAAAAATCTCCAATCAGAAAAAGCCCTGGTACCAGAATTCTATCAAATCTTCGAAGAGAGCTTGTATCCATACTGCAGAAATAATACCAAAAAATTGAGAAGGAAGGAATTCCTTTGCTAACACATGCTATGAAGCAAACATTGCCGTGATACCAGAACTAAGAAAAGATCCAACTGAAAAGGAGAATTTCAGACCAATTTCACTAATGAATATAGATGCAAAAGTTATTGGTAAAATCCTAGCCAACAGATTATAGGTATACATTAAAAAAATCATTCATCACGATAAAGTAGGTTTCATCCTAGGGATGCAAGGCTGGTTTAACATATGCAAGTCCATCAACATAATTCACCATATCATCACAAGCCAAAACAAAGACCATATGATCCTCTCAATAGACACAGAAAAAGGTATTTAATAAAATTCAGCATCCTTTTCTAGTTAGAACATTTAAGGATTTAAGCATAAATGGCACATTTCTTAATCTTATCAAAGCCATCAATGACAAACCTACAGCTTAAGTTATACTGAATGGAGTAAAACTGAAAGCTTTTCCACTTAGAACTGGAACCAAACAAGGTTCCATGTTGCCACTACTATTCAACATAATGGTAGAAGTTCTAGCCAATACAATCAGGAAAGAGAAGGAAATAAAGGGCATCAAAATGGGAGCAGAGGAAATCAAATTCTCACTCTTTGCTGACAATATGATCTTACACTTAGAGAACCCTAAGACTCAACTACAAGACTCCTGGAAGTGATCAAAAAATACAATAATGTCTCAGGATATAAAATCAATGTCCACAAATCAGTACCTCTGTATATGCCAATAACAGCAAAGATGAGAACCTAATCAAGGACATAATTCCTTTCACAGTAGCTTCAAAAAAAATGAAATCCCTAGGAATATCCAAAGAAAATTAGGAAACCCTAAGAAAAGAAACAGCTGAAGATTTTAACAAATAGAAGAACATACCATGCTCATGGATGGGGAGAATCAACATTGTGAAAATGTCTATACTATCCAAAGCAATCTACAGATTCAATACAATTCCCATTAAAATACCATCATCATACTACCAAGATTTAGAAAAAATAATTCTTCATTTTGCATGGACTAGAAGCAACCCCATATAGCCAAAGCAATTCTTAGTAATAAAAACAAGGCTGTGGTTATTACTCTGCCAGAATTTTGGCTATCCAATAAGGCTATTGTGATCAAAACAGCATGGTATTGGCACAAAAGTAGAGACACTGACATTTGGAACTAAATAGAAAACCATGAGATGAAACAAACATCTACTGCCACCTGATCTTTGATAAACCAAATAAGAAAATACACTGGGGAAAGAAACATGTATTCAATAAATGGTGTGGGAGAACTGGATAACCACACGTAAAAGACTGAAACTGGACCCGTACCTCTCACTACTTATGAAACTGATTCAAGATGGATAAAAGATTTAAATCTAAGGTGTGAAACAATAAAAATCCTTGAAGAAAGTGTGGGGAAAATACTTGAAGATATCAGTCTAGGGAAAGATTTTATGAAGAAGACTTCCACGGCAATTGCAACAACAAAAATAAACAAATGGGACTTAATTAAACTGAAAAGCTTCTGTACAGCTAAAGGAAACAACAACCAAAGCAAACAGACAACCTACAGAATGGGAAAAGATGTTCACATATTACAAATCAGACAAAAACTAAATAACTAGAATATATACAGAATTCAAATTAATCAACAAAGAAAGACTCAACAATCACATATAAAACCTTTTCTAAAGAAGACAGACAGATAGCTAAAAACATGAAAAATGCTTATTGTCCCTAATAATCAGAGAAATGCAAATCAAACTTCCCTTAGGTATCACCTAACCCCAGTGAGAATGGTTCACAGCAAAAAGTCTCAAGGCTGCAGATGCTTGTGTGGATGTGGAGAGAAGGGAACACCTTTATACTGCTAGTGGGACTGCAAACTAATAACAACCTTTTTAGAAGGAAGTATGGAGAATCCTCAAAGAACTCAAGCTAGACCTCCCATTTGATACCGCGATCCCATTACTAGGCATCTACCCAGAAGAAAAATAAATCCTTTTATCATAAGGACATTTGCACTAGACTATTTATCTCAGCTCAATTTACAATCCCCAAAATGTGGAAACGGCCCAAATGTCAACTAACCCAGGAATGGATTAACAAGCTATGATATATGTATACCATGGAATACTATTCAGCCACTAAAAAAGATGGAAACTTTACATCTTTTGTATTAACCTGAATGGAGGTGGAACACATTCTTCTTAGTAAAGTATCACAAGAAAGGAGAAGAAAGAATCCAATGTATTCTGTTCTAATATGAAAGCCGTAGATGAGGTAATCAAAGTGGGGAGGGGATGAGCAAGTGGGAAGGGGGTGAAGGAGATGGGGATCAGGATGTATGGCACAGCTCTTCGGGGTGAGGTACAATTATAAGACCGACTTTAACAAATGCAATCAGTATAACCTAATTCTTTGTACTCTCAATGAATCCCAAACAATAAGAAAATAATAAAATTAATAATAATTAAAAGGTGGTTAAGTCAGAAAAATTAACTCTGTTTAGGAGTCAAAAGAGACTCTCTTAGAATAAGGATTATAGCAAGAATATTTTTGCTTCCCTATAGCCTAACACATCCAGGAAATAGTCAAGAGCCATTTGCTGAAACCTAAGAAATGAACTCTTCCTATCTTAGCATCTAATGAGGCTAAGAAAGTAAAGTCCAAACAATCTTTGGATGCTGCTATGGTGGAAAGTCAACACAGGGAAAGTAATAGCATCTTCTCTGAGAGCAGCAGCTCCTTACCTGTTGCTGTACTGGTACTTGCTGTACCACCTGTGTAGGCACTGCTGCTTGACTAGCCACAGATGTTTGTAAAGTCACTGTCGAACCTGTGTCCGACCCGGTCTCTGATGTCTGCATGATGGTCTCTGAAATATATTAAAATAAAAATAAGGTTTAAAATATTCTCATCACTAGCTTATTATACTTAATATCCGATACTGTGACTTTCAACTCTCACAATATCTTTTAACTCAACATACTGTCATGATAGTTCATGGATGTTAATAGTCATTTTGACTACTTTGTAAACTCAGAAAAATAATAATCAACTTTAAAAAGTCCCCATTAGTACCTCTTATCCCGAGACTATCAAGGTTAAATTTCATTGAAAGCTACCTGCCTTAAGTCTTATGTTACAAATTGTTTCAATCCCCTTATAAACTATAGCTCAAAATTATTATATTCAATCCTCAGAACAGAAACCCCAGTTGGATGTAAACATGTCATGAACTATACTTTCCAGACACTTTTATGTGTCTAGAACGTAGGCTGTCAGGATGTCACTGAAGTATGATTTAGAAAAGTCCTTTCTGCAATCCTTTTACCATTTGATGATCTTACAAAAAAAAAAAAAAATACTGCATATCCAAACATCAACTGATTTACCTAAACTTAGCAAGAAGATCAAGTTCACTAATTTTCTCTGCCTATGGTATATGGTACCAAGATCAAAATTCAATTATAGTCTACATAAAGATAGCAAAAAAAAAAAAAATGGCTATCTTTTGAAAGATGGGGGGACCACAATCACATAAATAAGACTTGCACACAAAGACATGAAATTTTACTCTCTCATTCAAAATGCAACATGACACATTTTTCCGTTCTTATATGCCAAACCTACAAAACCAGGATTACATTTTGATAGGGCCTAACGTAGGGACCTGCCCCCAAAGAAACTTCCCGCCCATGAAGGAATGAGTACGTGAATGTTCCACCCAGGAAAAACGGAATGCACCAATCACTATCCCACCAAACTCTTATATTCCCATTCACCTTAACCCACGTACTGACATCTTTTCCAGATTCAGCCCGCTCGCACCCAAGTGAAATAAAGGCCACACTGCCCAGACAGAACCTGGACTCTTATTCCTTTCGTTCATGTCTTGGAATAATTCCTCATTTGGGGGTCCTTAACCTCTTACATTTTGCAGCATTTATTGTAACAAGTATGCTTTCTCAGGCTTCCTGGCTTTCATATCCCCTTTTGCTACTTATATATTCAATAAAATATGAAAATAAATATGAATTTCTTTGCTATTGAGCAAGGACCAGATTTCCAATTTTTTCCCCTGTGGGGAGGGGTGTAGGGGAGAACAGTATTTAATTGGTAGCCTAAGGAAAATATTGAATTATGGTTTAAGTCTATGAAGAATATGGTGAACATTAATTTTCCCTAAGAAAATTCTGAGCATATTCAGTTCTAGCAAGCAGAAAATTCACTCCTGTTAGCATGTTTTGTCAATTTTAGAAGACATCAAATCCACTCTTCTTATTTTATAAATGAGAAGACTAAAGGTCCTAAGTATTAAGAGAGAGCCTTATCAAGGTGATTGGAGCAGATCAGGACTGGGCCTTTTCACTATGGATCTGTGCTTAATTTTCCTTCTAACCTTTGACATTAGCACCTCTTTAGGTGATTGAGCATTTTCTCATTCTTTTGTTAGTAAAAACCCCACAGAAGCATAATAAACCTTAGTACACACAAATGTATAGCAATAACAGCTAAACAATGATTGACAACTCTTCTAAATGCTTCATGTGTTAATTTATTAATAGATTAATCCATGTAAGAGTGATGGAATGCTTATCTGCAAAGAGCAAATAAACCAGATGTTCCGATATCATCTTCAGTGAGGTTTTCCCAGCCTCTCCTGCCAACTCTAACGTGGCTAGTGGTCTTTGTCAGTTTAGTATACAGATGAGGAAGACAGGAATGGCAGTTATGGCTTCTCCTTTAAACTGCTGAAGCACAGGTGGATGAGTTCCTTACAATACAGTCACTCACAGTTAAACTTCCTCCTAGTGCTGGCTGGGAACTTGACTGAAGCTTGCTCACACACCTGTATATCACACTGCAGACCAGTCTACATATTTTTGGCACATGAACCATACATTGGCATATGTTTTAGATTAAATACATGTAAAAAGGTAAAGAAGTTCTCCTTAAAAATTAAATCTACCTTAAAAAAAATTCTTACTCCAATAAACCACATAAGAGAACTTACCAGAAGTTAAAAGGCATTAATTTAGAAACTACTCTCCTCTGAACTGTATTAGACCCCACAGACACATCTTATTTGGCTCAGAATGATGCCAACATTTTAAAAGTTAGGAACCTGTACAAGATTTTCAAGAAAAATATGAACTTTTTAAAAAAGGAACCCATATTATATGTTTTATAAGGCAAGATATTTAAGTGGCTATACTTATTCACTTGAACTGGCTTCTATGAGTATCTGAGTTTGTGAATCCTTTGAAGGTAACCAGAAACTCCATTTTTCCTTCATAGATACAACTTCATTCTCTGATTTCACTATCTTCTTCGGCTTTCGGAAAGTCTCTCTTTATCAAGCCCTATGACTTGACAGTATCTCAATCGCATCGCTTCCCAAGATTGTCCCAAAAGGTCATAATCATAGTTGGATCTCAATTAATAAGTCTTTTCCTGGTGCCAGCACCAACGTAAGTACTTAAGATTAATCTTCCGAAGAGCCCCATAATGGAAGTATTATTATTCCCACTTAAGAGATGAGAAAGGGAGACACAAATGGATTAGTATTATTCAAAAGCCACACAGCTAGTAAAAGGAATATCCTGAATTCAATCAACAGGTCTCTCTGACTCTAAAGCTCACGATGTGAAATATGTATGTATATTTCATACATATATATATGTTCTTAACTCACAATATTAGATTTACATTTCCAATAACAATGGACAGACAACCTGTCTCTAACACCAAAGTATATTAGGAAGCATTCTTTTTCTTGAGGCCATAATAAAACCCAATTAATAAGTATTTTCTCAGAGGCATTTTAAATGATTAATTCTGATTTAACAGCAAGTCAATTAGAATGTTAAAGCATATTTGAGGAGTATAACTTGCCTGCCAAATTTTGCTGAAGAGATCATTTAAGCCCACTGACACAGTCACAGTATTTTGGAAGCTTTCCAACTTTTCTGTGAAGTAAGGAGGATCACCTGAGAGCAGTGTCTTAGCATGCTCCCTTTTAGGTTTGGTTTTACTCCCAGCATAATAGTTTATGAGGACATCCGAGGTGTTTCCATTCATCCAGCAGTGGTTTCTGGTGTTTTGTTTATGTTTGGGAGTAATTTAGTTAGTTTGGTTCCTTCACAGCCTCCTTTAAAGTGATATTTGTTTATCAGTCACAAATGTAGTCACATTAATCCATTTTGATAAGCTAAATAAACCCCTGCAGTTTGTCAATGATGCAGCCCATATGTAAATAAGCTGTATATTCTTACAGGAGAGACACGCACAATTTCAGTCTAGTCATCCCTGCCTAATGTGGCTGTCAGGTGTGTCATGAGCAACAGATGCTTGTTTGACAAAGGACCTTTTTATTCTGGCTAATTAAGCAGTTGGACACACCCGCCTGTTAACGGTTCTGCTTCTTACAGCCAGCTCTAGCTGAATCATGCAAATCTACAGCTAAATAGGCCACATTTTGAAAGAAGGCTAATTAACCCCTAGGAGAAGGAAAAGAATATTGCAAAAACCCAGCTGCTGAATGCAACAAGATTAGCATTTCTTCAACCTGATGGGCAAAACCTAGGCAAAGCAAATGTGTTTGCAACAAACATGCCTTCTTGCAAGTTTTAAGGCATTGAAATGTTCTTTGTGGAACTTCCTGAAGATTATTTAATACACTCAAATTCACAGTTGGATTCCTTTTATCACACACAATGTACAAGCCATATTAAATGGTTTAATAGTCTGACCTAAACAGTTACTCAGCAAACAGAACTATATAGCTGGACTAGCATAAAAATAGATAGCAGGATCTAATTTTTATTGAGGTCTTTCATTCTGAAACAATTTGCTCTCCCCAAAAGCAAAGTCTGCAAAGTTTGGTTCCACTAAAGAATGTTTTTTACTCTAAAGAATATAACAGGTTGTAGAAAATAAAAACTTTTAACTTAATTTTCAAGTGTAACAGAGAATTTTTATCCTTTTCCCTTATTGTAGAATGACAAAAGATGCAAGTTCTAATTCCTACTTGAACCAAATTAACGAAAGTTACTGTTTATTTAATGAGTACTGAAAATCACACTTAATGTCATCCTATTCCAGAACAACTTATTTATGAGACCGTAAGAAACATGGTTCAAAATATGACATGGAAATGCCATTTACAGAAAAATATTTTACAATTGAAAATTATTATTTTTAAAATAGAGAACAAGGAGTTTAACAATGGTATACTTTTACACAAAGATCCAAATTCACTGTAATTGAAGTTCTGCATCATAAAACTTCTATTACTAATTCTGCAATCTTAACTGTTAGAATATTCATGTTCACAACAATTAAAATCTTTATTAAAATTAAGACAACTAAATTAAGTAGTACTTTGGGGGATGGTTGAATTGTCAATATTCACTTTTCTACACATAAAATTAGTATGTAGTGTACCCATTTCTTACTATTCCAGAATAAATAATGAAAAACTATTAAAATTACTCTAATTCTTAACTAGAATAGGCCATGCACTGTGGCTCACACCTATAATCCTAGCACTCTGGGAGGCTGAGGCTGGTGGATAGCTTGAGCTCATGAGTTCCAGAGTTCCAGATCAGCCTGAACAAAAGTAAAACCCCATCGCTACTAAAAATAGAAAAAAAACTGAGACAGGAGAATCGCTTGAGCCCAAGAGTTGGAAGTTGCTGTAAGCTATGATACGATGATGGCACTCTACTTAGAGCAACAGTTTGAGACTTTGTCTCCAAAAAAAATTAAAAAAGATATTAGCAACTTTCAAAGAAAACATAATGTAAAATAATCAGGCATACTAGAAAGTAAACATATATTAATGTATGTTATACATATAGCTAAATAATC